TTTGTGTCTGTGTTTGCCCCCGTGATCCCAGTTCGCTGAACTATTAGTTTGTTCAACGTGTTGTTTCTAAGCCTCCTTCCCAATAAGCGCGTTTATAATAGGAGAAGTGCGATTTTGTTCCCGTGTTGACACACCCCGATGTGGTGACCTTACCCTAGGCGTCGGTGTCGCTCAAAGCGTCCATTCATACCAAACAACCCTGTGATGCCCGCTGGTTTCGTCCGGCTTATAGTGAAAGCTCGCACCGCGAACAATTACAGCCGGTCAAAAAAAGACGTGCGTTGCATTTTTCTCTTGTTGGGCAGTAGTGCTTAAATCCCACATGCCGCGAGTAGGCGCCCTTAGGACAAGTTCGGCGTTCAATCAGTCACGCCCTTCTGGCTGTCACATCGCCTTCTCTTGTTTAGCTCTCACGCTTGACTACTAGAGCTAGCAAAACCATATATAAACATAACAGTTTGTTAATCATTGATGGAGTACGTTAATCGTCGGGACGAATACGTACGGCTGAGTGGTACTAGGGACGCATTAGGCAGGGCTATAACTGTAAAACACTAATACACATTTCGCAAGCTCATTCTTATCAATGTACAGAAAACATCACAATACTTCTGTAAGCACGCGTTTTAATTTTTGTGTCTTACCGGTTCCTGCAATCGAGGGATCAACCATGTTAATTTTACAGCGAAATCTGTTGCAAGATCAGTGCTGGGGTCACATACCACCCTAGTTGTTTGCCACCGCCACCACCGGTGTCCGCAACCACATCGAGCGAAGATAGACGAAAAAACCTAGCACCAATGACACAGTCGGGCTCGAACCCGGGTACGTTGGCAGCCAGTCCACTATTCGACAACTGAGTCACTCCAGTGTTTAGAACTTTTTGGCAAACTTGCCTTCGGCAAGCTTGATGTTGGGAAAGGAAACGCGTTAATACTACTTATAAAGTGTTTTAAAACAGTGAAAGAGCAACCAGACATCGCACAATACGAATAGCGTAACGCGTGAATCGTCCAATGGTCCAACTCATTACAAAAGGTTGTTAGTGTTCTCCTATTAACGGTGGCGCATACCCACTTCAGTCATAATTCCGCATGATCTTCAGCCACTGCATGATTTATTGCACAAAATTACTTGCAAGCATTTAGCGGATACTTCACGTCTCAAAAGAATGACAAAAAATAGCACAGAAAATGCCGGTATACTACGAAAAAATCGTATTAATAAAGTCGTAGTCGGTATGAAGCAAGTGTGCTTGCAGTGTGTACACAGTGAGCCTTTAGAAGACTCTTAATGGCCGCTCTTCTAGCTTTTGCTGTGACAGTGCTGAGCCCTACGTGTAAGCGCGGCGTTTTTTTAAATTTTTGTGATCCTCCACTAACATGCCATCCTTTTTTGGATAATGCACTTCATGACTTTTTTGGATGATGCACTTCATGCTAAGTGAATTGTACAAATGTTGGTACTTTTCATGGTTATGGGAAATATCGTTAGCACTCCGTCATCGACCTTTATTTGTCGCCCACAACATTTAACTCGTGCTGTGACAGAACACAGAAAACTTCGCAAGTTTTTTCAAACTTGAAAAAAAAGACTAAATCGTTTCGTCAACAATTTCGTTAAGTTTCGTTCATGATATAATAAAAAGAGCGATGTCCTAGGAAACATTCAGAGATTTCAGTGTTCAGTCTTACCATAAACCTGAATAGAAAAACTACCTTCACCCTCCAAACTTATATTTCAAAATTTTTCAGAAATAACTGAGTGAAGAAGCCCTGGATGCCCTCTGATTTTGCACCATGTTTTTATCACAGCGTGCTCTCGCCATAGTATTACAACGTCTGGACTCCTAATCACAGCCTTGTAGCCTTAGTGCGACAAGGCTGCACGGGGCACCCATGCATCGAGTAATTGACTTTGCTGTCGGCATCGCCCTTACACAGTAGGTGGTCGTCTGGGTAGCCAGGGTTGCGCCCTTAATTTCACAACACTAGTCATTTTCTTGAATCTTTCTGGCCGGGTTGTTCACACCATCACTTTTCGTATATGCAGAGTTAAAAAGGTGTTGTTGGGAAGAACGACTGCGTTGGAATGTCGCAACAATATAATTTTAGATGAAAAAAACAAGAAGTTATTTTACGCTTTCATCAACCACCTGATTTAAAGGCCTCATTAAAGAAAAATCAGTGTACCTAGTTTTAATTTATCTGATTCAATGAGGATTCGACATGTTCATTTTTAGGTATTTCAGAAAATATCTTCTCCATGGTTAGTGAAGGACGTTTGAAATCTCAGTTTTGTGGGGCTCCTAAACTACTATGTGGCACTATCAGCTGCCATAGGTATTTGGAGCCTCTACACTTGGTTTCAGCCACAGGGATGTTTTATTCGCCGTTCAAGAATAAATCACTGCGATTAAAAGGTTTTCTTGCTAAATTACTGCCTCACTATTTTTCTTCTTTTTTTCAGCAAACTTGATATCGGTATTTCAAATCAAAATCAAGTTACAAAAAATTTGTAGGAATGACGCATTGCAGAAAGTTTAGAGCAAATTCACCTTATAATTGGCCAATCCCCTTCTTTGGGTACGAGCCATTTGCACAGGGAAACAACAACAACAACAACAACAACAACAATTATATCTGACGTCGTGCTAAGGAAAGTTACAAGCACAGCGCTAGCTTTCTTTATCTCCAATATAATATAATTGTAGCAACCTAGAAAACACAGTTTTGCGCACTGCACTCTGAAAAATTTAAACCCTAAAAGGTGTAAAACGGGTGTACGCATTAAAATAACCCATATGAACAACCTTTTTACGCCCCATATATAAAATTTGAGGTGTTCGTGAATAAAACACCTTCAAAACACCCCACTTACACTCCTATATTTGGTGTGTAATGAAGAAGGCTACAAGTTTCAGTTTATTTCGTACATAGGTACATGACATGAAATATGTCCACGAGGCAAGGCAAAAAGAGACTCCTATGTCTCCTGACGAGGCCTTCACCCCGGACTTACACGTCGGATAACTAGGAGCAAAATCAGAGAAAATACGCACAATGCTCATTGCACAACTTATATAAACAAAAAACGAACAGTAAAACATATTAGGACAAAAATTATACAAAGTTTACATTGTTCAGGTTCAACAGTCTTTTAAAGTTACATAACTATACAATATACATATTTTCGTGTTCAAAGCAAAATATTTGTAATTTCAAGGAGGCAGGAAAAGTAGCTTTATTGTTTTTTAAAACGAGACATACTTGAGTTCTGATTAGCCAATTCGATTAGGAATAGGTATGCAATCAGCAATGAAATAATCTGATAATCTGTAGTTTTAGTACCATAATTAGTTCTTGGTCTTGATCCCGTCAACGAAATAGTGCGAAGGTCATATGCCACTTGTCTATTTAGATATTTGCTTGAGAACATGGTGCGACGACGTTTGAATTCGTGGAAAATCACTGCTGCCAAAGAAAGCTGATATAACTCTGAGAATGATGGTACGTTCAGACTTTTATACAGAGAGTCAGTTCATGGGGGAGGATGGGAAGAAACTATTTTTAGGCTCCTTTTTTGTATAGGGGAAACACGTTCAGCATCCGTCTTGTTGCACGTACCCCAGACCAGGTGACAATATGTTAAGTGGAAATGAATAAAAGTGAAGTACAATTGTTTTCTAACACGCAGTGGTAATAAATATTTTAGCCTGTATAACATAGCAAGAGATCTAGATAGCTTAGCATGAACATAATTTATGTGCTCAGACCAGCTGAGGTCAAACCTAAAAACTACTCCCAAGAAGCGGCAAGAGTTGACAGGCGTTATTATATTGTTATTGATACTCAATTTTACGCTATGAAGAAGTTTTTTTTTGGGCGAAATATTACATACTGTGTTTTCTTTACGTTTAAGTTTAGTTCGTTCGCATTAAGCCAGATATGAAGTTAGTTTAGCGAGGTATTAGCACGGCGCTCTAATAAATTTAGATCTGGACCAGAAAAAAAAAAAAACGTTAGTGTCATCGGCGTACATAGCAATGGCGGGAGTAAAAGAAATGTTAGCAATATCATTAATATATATATAAAAAAAGAGCAAAGGACCTAAAATAGATCCCTGTGGGACCCCAAAGTCTATCCTAGATAAGTCTGACTTTAATTCCTGAAGCTGTGTATATTGCATTCTGCCTTCGAGGTAACTCTTTAATATTGTAAGGGCCAGTCCACGGATACCATATGTCGTTAGCTTCATTGTATTCTTGTGGATAACTAGCGTTTTGATTAAGACTTTCGTGATGCTTCAGAAAATAAGCCAGTTTGATCTAATGTATTCAGATTACATCATGAACGTCAAATTTCATGTGAGTCGATGTGCTATTTCGAGAATTGGCAAGTTCTGTGTGAGATTCACAAACTAGTTTCCTCTCGCAATAAGCTCAATGGCTGTGTAGAGTGTTTACTATAGGTAGCGATAGGAACCATTCTCAGTGGCTAACGCGAGCACACTTTCTATAAAAACCACCGAAACAAAGCCTCTTTGCAAGAAGCAAATTTCAACAGATATACACTGTAATAGAGCTTGAGCAATCTATTTTAGTATGTTTAAAACTGCACAGATTCAACCATGTATAGCGTTAAGTAAAAATCACGTATGTGGAATTGCGAGAAGTCCTGAAGTTTGGCAAATATTGACATCATATGAGTATACCATATAGGGATATAGTAACGAATCGACAGACCTGGTTATATTTGGCCATAGAGGACCCTATATGTCCACATCCCTTTAATTGTTGAATCAAGGCAGGCATTTTTTTTCATAAGTCAAGGTATGCGGTTTTTGAAGGCCAGTGACGACGCGAAGCATGAATAAGCTTCAGAAAAAGATGTTTTTGAGAACACTGGTAGCATTTTGTTCTTTCTTCTGCTCTCTTTATTGACCACTCTCGCATTCCAAGAAAAATGGAGCGCTTTCTCAGAATGATTTTTTTGTTACAGTACTAACTACCATGTGGAGATACGATTGGAGGAAGGAAAAGGTAGGGATACAGCACCTACAATGACAGCCACACCAGGTCAAATGAGGAGCACAACCTCAATAGGGCAACATCAGAATGGTATTCTCTCAGCTGGTAAGGCAATGGCTTATTTCGATAATTTAAAAGGTAATGAATGTCGCTCCTGAAGTGTACCTAAATGCCTCGTTGAGAAAAACCACGATGTTTCACTCAATTATGCCTTTTCAGTACCTGCTTTAAATATAAGGAAAAAGAAATGGATGAACCTTAGGCGTTTTACTAGATACTGCTGTTCGAGAAAACACAGCGAAAAAAAAATGAATGCATGACAAGGTGAAGACAAAGAAGGGTTGGCAAGTCCTTACGTTGTTCTTTTTTCTGCGGTGGTTTTTTTGTACAACAGCGGGAATGTTTTAGTGGCAGTTGTAATGTTCTTACTGCGGCGAATAAGAAAGCAGGGTCAGAGATCACTATCGGGTAATGTTTTCTGCGCATGTCTAAATATGAACATTTGTTTTATATTTAACGGCCACTTCATGTATTTATGTGTATTTGCCTCACGATCTCACCACTGTGAAATTCTCGGAATCCATTTAGCACGAATGACTGGATTCTGAGATAGTTGTTGCAAATATTTGTCTCACGCTTCACTAGCACTCTCTTTTCTCTCGTACCGGCCAAAGCGTTGGAATCTCAGGAGATAGAGACAGCCCGAGAAAAAAATACGTCACGCGCCTCTTGCGACCTTGTGCATTTTCTTCTTCTTTTTTCGTTCAAACAAGCGTCTTTTTAGTGCGATTGCACGAGCACGCATGGACAGGTTGCGGCCTCACGCGGCTGTACCAGTGAAGAGTGAATGCGCCATGCTCAAATGAGCCAAGTCTGATTCAATGGTTGTGATAAGCGTTTTCTTTAGCTTGTAATATCATTGCTCGACAACAGAGAAAGCGATTTTCAGCTGCCTTTGACAATTTCGAAGAAATTTCAAGCTGCATGCTGTGATATATTATTTCGCTCGCATTTTTTTCAAAAACATCGACTACCAATCGGCAGATTTTTCTGACAATTGTCAAGAAGCTTTGCAGCTCGGGGCTATCCATGTTGTATCAAGGACCGAACGTGGCTAAAGAAAGGCGCAGCGTACATGTGCGTGATGGTGCTCGAGGGAAACCAGTTTGTGGTTTGTAAAGTGCGCGTGTGCATCGGCGCAAGAAACACGACTATGGTGACGGACTAGATCTACGCGAGTTTGTTTTGTGCATTCAGCAAGGAAGATGAAGTGAAGACCGAGTGCTTGAGAAGACGTCGGCAATTGTGACCAATGAAAGGCCCACATGCTGTTCCAAAAGCAGCTGTTGAGAGAAAACCAGACGCGGCCGAGCCGCGGCTGAGACGTGGCGGAAGTGAGCAGGCTACCAGGGCGCGGCAGTGGCAGCGGTGTTCCTGGGACAAGGCTGCTGCGGACTCCCACCTGGATGTGTTTTTGAGAGTCAACCACCGTCTGGCGTTCACCAGGCTTCTCGTCTCCTAGCGTCTGCCAGGAATTTCGTCTGGCGTTGCCCAGGAATTTCGTCCGGCATTAGCCAATCACTTCCCGTCCGTCTCCGGGTTCTCGTTCAAGCGCTGAAAGGGGAACTCCGACAGGGCGCTGACTACGGGTCCAACAGTGCTACCTGTCTTCCGAGCTACTCCATGACCGCGTGACCCCTACGACGTTTCGCTTCATCTAGATTCGCTGGGTGCACGTGTGTCTCCACGGAACGGCGATCGTCACTTGTCATTTCTACTGGACTCTTGAATTTATCGTCAGCTTCCTAGACTTATTAACTCCATCTTTTTGGCATCTTCTGTGTTTAATTTTTAGCACTTTTACTTTTCTCCTGTTATTCAAATATATCGAGTGTTGTTTTTCATATTGCAGAAATGGTCTCAGTTCTTCTTCTCCGATGAAGATTATGTCATTGGGTTGGCCCTCACACGAACCTACACGAGAGCATCATGATAAATAGCCTTGTGACAATGTGATAGCGCTGCTAAATAAACGTCGTAAACGCTGCAAATCCCTTATGAGCTTACGCATATAAACTGAAACTGATGGTGACGTGCTCTTGACCAATAAAACCTTACAGGCTGGGCTCTAGTGAGAAACGTGGAGTGCATGTATAAAGAAATTGCAGAAAGACTCAACAACATAGAGATGGACCATCTTGAATTTAAATGCGTCTTTAGGTACCAATATTGCCACCTTATGCTGCGTGGTAGTGAAGATGAGCAATTCGTTATATCAAAGCATAAGCAGTCATATAAACTTTGCAATCGTCCTAAATCTGTCTCGCAACTTTTCTTCAGTATTACGGTGCTAGCAACACCAAAAGCAACGCTGAAGCAGGCTGGATTACTTCTATGCTTATCAAAATCTGTTGCCGAAGTAGAGTTAGCAAAGTAAAAACATAAACAATGTCAGTCTTTGCAGCTTGCCTAAAACCATTTCACAGCTCTGACGCGAATGTTTAGAAAAATCATTGCACTCGCTTAACCAAACATGGTTGCGATCCGGACATCCCTAACCTTTTTTTCTTTTCATAATTGTGCAGCGTGGAAAACGAAACGCACAAGACAAGAAAACAGGACAAGCGCTGATCTAACAAATGAAAATAAATTTTCTGCTGTTATACCAGCGCTTCGCCTGTTATATTCTCAGAGAGAAAAAAAATTACTTGTGCATGACGCGGAGCATTTTAAATGGTCGGGCCTCGATTCCAGGGCTCCGCTGGCCTTAGCCATCGTCTCTACCCGTTGGACCATTCAATGCTGATCAGCACTGGCCGAGCTGGACAGCAGTGCTTGTCATTGTTGCTGCGTGTTGTTCATGTTGTGGTGTTTTTCATTGTGATGTGCACAATCCCACGTGATGTCAAACAGAGTTGATGTGGCCCTACACCACGGACACATATCTCTGTATGCTGTCGGGTGGAATACATGTAGCTTGTGTAAGTTCGTGTATGTATCTGTTTAGATACTGCGTAATGCCACCAATTCCATTGCTGTGAGGTTCTTATATGGTGCTGGATACAGTTTCCTATTGTCCATGTAATGCTGAAGAATGGTACCAATATTTCAGTGTGCAAGTATGCTCGGTGAGTGGTGAAGCCTCGAGCCGCCTCATCCGCAAACTTGTTTCTCCTGTGACGCCCTCGTGCCCTGGCACCCAGATATTAGTATAGGTGTATTCAATTACAAAGCCTTTAAAAGATTTTTCAGAATTTGGAATGCCTACACACACACACACACACACACACACCAGATATATATATATATATATATATATATATATATATATCATTTTCGTAGTTCTTACGGGCAGCCTTTGAATCCGTGATTATTGTGAGCGGGGCTACTCGCTCCCTGTTCTCGTTGATTTCCAGTGCGATCGCTATCTCCTTCGCTTGTGTGATACAGGCTTGGGCTATGGAGGCGCAACTTGTAAAGTTTACTTTTCGGTCTGTGACCACGGCCACCACGTCCTTTTCACTTGTCTTATGAAGTGCAGCGTCTGTAAATCTCGCCGTTTTCAAATATTTTGTCTTTTTATCTAGGTAAGCAGCACTTTGTTTACGTCTTCCAGCATTTAGAGCTGGGTCTATGTTCTTTGGTAGGGGACACATCTCGTACCAGGCTCCGAGTGAGCACGACAATTCCTTAGCTCTTCCGTGTTCCTGTACTTGTTCACCGAGGCTGATCCTCTGCCGGTTGGCGTCTGTAACAGGCGGTTAATCCGGGTGGTTACTTGCGCTTCAGCCATCTCACTAAATTTATTGTGAAGTACGAGTGCTATTAGCATCGCAGTTTAAGTGCTTTGAGGCAGTCACAGAGCCGCTTTATACGCCATTCTTACTATTTTGTCTGCTTTTTTTCTCCTCTCTATTCATGTTGTGCTAAGGAAGCGAGTATGATAGTATGCTGATGACTAAGTGACTAAGCTCTTTACCAAATGAAGCGCGTCTTCTCTTTCAGTCCAGCATGATTGTTCGTTATTCGATTTATCATGCGAACAATTCGTTGAGCTCTTTGTTGAAGCATACTCAGTGTGTGAATACATCGCTGATTGGGCTCTAGCCACATCCCTAGGATTCGAATGGTCGTTTTCTTTGGAATAATACTGCCGTATAGCTTGACCTCAAGGCGGAGGCTCGAGTCTGTCGTTTGTTTTTTTTAATTTTGGGCAGTCGAATGAGTTCCAATTTATCTGCTGACCCTACTGAAAATTCCTATACAGATAGGACCCGTATCATATGATGTTATTGGATACAGGTGATACAGTGATTGCGTTCCATATTGGGGATACAGGGCTTATGGGCCATTTGGGGCATATGGGGGATACAGGGCTTATGGGCCATATGAGGTATACGGGCCATACAGGAGTTATAGGGTGTGTGGGTAATATCGGTGATAAGGATCGGATGAATTTCCCGGTTCCTGCTGAAAATCATGATGTAGTGCAAAAAAAGAGAGAACGGTCACACAAAACCACACACCACATAAATTTAGGCAAGCATAAACTAGCCCAAGAACAAGTCCTTCTGCAGAACATCCCCGGTTCCTTTGGGCAAGTAGTAAGGGTCATAGGTAATGTTTGCCTAAGCTTGGTATTAAGGCAATGCCAGTTTATAAAGTATAAGAAATACGAATATGCCACAATGTGCAATTTAATGGTGCTTCGAAAGTACAGTAGACTAAATGAATGGAACAAAGTGTTGTATGTAGTGTAGTGTCGGGACATTTGAGAAAAAAAGAAGACAAATAGTTTTGCATCCTCGAATTAATATATATGATTAAACATTTTGCGAGGAAGTGTTTCTATCTTTCTCAGCCTGCTAGGTGCATATACATATTCGCTGGCTGATTCACAAATTTTGCAAAACCCTCTGCACAGTAATGGGCAAATACATGCAGCACTTACTAAATACTTTACTTATTTGTTTACCTGTAAATGAAAACATAAAGCAAAATATTGTTACGTAAAAATGACACGAGGCGTGTCTATTTGAAATCTTTATTCAAACTGATGCACATGGCGTCGACTAAGATGGAAAACAGCACGCACAACGGACGAA